AAACCTTAAATCCTAAGCCTTAAACCCTAAACCCTGAACCCCATGCCCGGGGCCAGCCCTCACACCGGACGTTCCGCCGCAGACCAGGACATGCAGACAACCCCGTGTTTGCCGTTTAGGCCGCAAACTCTGCGCGCCCTCCGCGCCAAAGCGCCTCCGTAATGTAGTGCGGCCATGAGAACGTCCACACAGAGTCCATCGGTTCCCAGAGAGCATCCACGTCCCAACCATGACAACGTCCACACAGACTCCATCCGTTCCCAGAGAGCATCCGTGTTCCAGCCATGATAACGTCCACACAGACTCTATCCGTGGCGACTACAAAGCATCCATGTCTCCATGATGATAACGTCCATGCAGACTCCATCCACTCTTGTCGCAAAAGCACCCCGCCCGAGAGGTGATGTATTAGGATGTAGGTTTAATAAAGCATCATCCTGACGTAAGAGATTCTGTTAGCCGTCGCCAAAAGCGTTTATACGGTATTTACGAGGGTTTCCTACTTCTCAACATACTTGGTCTTATGGGTGCGCGGCAAGACGCGCGGTCGGAGCGGCCAGTGGGCCAGGTGCAGCCGAATCTGATCGCTGCAGATTTCCCGTCACGCGCGCGGCAGCACTGGCTTGGATCCCCAGACGTGTTTCTGGTAGTTGCGCCACGGCTTGGGTGCCTAATATAGGGGCCTAAATGCTTTCAAATACTATTTCTGGGGTTGCTTATTATAGTTATGGTATAATCTATCCCAAGACCCTATTCTAATTATTAAGGCCCTTATATAAGAATTGTGTGTGCATCTTTGGGCTGTGGTTTCTTTTGTAACGATCTCCAAGATTCTCTGTTTCGGGTACCTCTTGGGGAGAGATAGTTTGTGGAATCCTCTTGGTCGAGGCACTGAATCACAAGGTCTGCAATTATATTTCAAGCTTATGTGAAGGTCCTGGCCTGTAGGCAGGTAAGCCGAAGTGCGAAGTCTCTAGACGCACCACACGAACCGAGGTGTCTTGTGAGCCTAAATCTCCAGTGGAATCCCGTTAGGCGCCAAGTTTCTCGCTTCGTGAACTTTCCAAAGCCCCAAGCCCTAAAGCTTGAACACTACAAAAAAAGTCCGTGACGTTCCGCCCCTAGCAAACGTGAGGCTGGCCGCTCGCTTAAACCGGGACCATGCTGGCAGATATCTGGTTGTGAACCTCTCTGGCACAACTTACGAAGCCTGGACTTGGATGGGGCTTTCTTTTGCTTGTGTAGTTTCTGCTGATGGTGGTGTTGTTGTTGTGCAGATGGTGACGATGATGCCATACCTGTTGATACTGCTAGTACGAGGACTGTATATCGAACTGCTAGACTCTTGCGGAGTCTAAACCTGCAAAATCCAATTGCTTCGATCTCACCTTCCTTTGCGCACGCTGTCCATCTCGATAAGAGTTTGGGTTTCCGACTTTTTTTGTTAAACTTCCTGCATCGGTGAAGGCTTTTTGCCTTAGGGAGGATGGGCAACTGATTGGCCTCCTCGTCCTAGGCAGACAAGACCACCATAGTATCAACAACCGTGTCACAGTGTCCATCTTTATGGTCTTAGCCATCATCTCCGCCATCATCATTCTCATCCTCCGCATCGGCGCCACCGTCGTCATTACTTTGGTGGTGAGTGTCCCTATCGCAATAACCAGCGTCGCTTATCTCTCCTTCCCATCATCGTTACCTTCATGCTCGCTTCATCTTCATCCCCATCCTCATCTCCACCCTGATTCTCATCCTGGTTCTTATACGCGCTACTTTCACCGCTTCTGCCACTATGGCTCCGTCATGCTCACCACCCCGGTCATCACCCCCAGCACCATCATCGTCGTCATCGTCGCCGCACCCTCGATCACCAGAGTCGTCGTCATCGGCATGAACACTACTAATGTCATGTTTACCGTCACCATCAAGATCAACGACATCATCTTTGTTCATGTAAACAGCATCACCCACCTCCAGCAAATTGCGTCGTGTTGTCGGTCTCCAGTGCTTCGGCGGGGCCAAGCGGATGTGGTTTCCCAGTTTCGGCAAACTGGAAAGACTTAGCTGTACTTATTCGTTGACTTACTTACATGCATACAGATCATTCATACATATAAACTGTGTTACTTGCTCGCTTACCTGCTTACTGCTCTACTTACTTGCTTGTGTAGGTACGTCAGTACTTACTTTACATAATTACTTACGTACTTACTTCTTTGCTTGCTTGCTTGCTTGCTTACTCACT